CGCACGATAGGAATGTTCCCGGTGGTCAAACCATCCCTCCCATTTCCACCACTAGTCCGCAGCAGGCGGTCGACCACTGGTCCGCAGCAGGCTGGACGTTGGTCAGGGTACGTCCTGCCGCTGAAGGAAGTTTTCGGACGGTACTCCTCCCTGGTTCCCTCCTCTGGTGCGACACCCCCTCCTCCGCCGTCCACCCATCCTACCAACCACTTTCCTTTCTCAAGAGCAAATATGACCGCTCTCTTTCTCTCTGTCTCTCAACAACGAGCAAGTACGATCTTCCCGTTATAGTGCCCGTAAAACAAGAAAAAAGTTTCCTCAGACCAAACACGACTCACCTCCCCTGTGACCAAATACGCCCCTCCCCTGCTAGGGTTTCCCCAACATACAACGTAGTCTGACGTTAACTGTAGCTTTCTTTGCTTTCCTGTTATGTCTGCAGAACATGTTATGCGAGTGACAGCCGACGCTGTTTCCGACATGTTACGCCCTAACAATAAGAACAACTACCGGCTCTACTTATTCTACTAATACTTCCACAGACAGATTCGATTCAACTTGAATAAGCAGAAGGTGCGATTTAGATTTTTCAGCAAAAGTATCGCAAACAGCTAATACGCAAACTTACCAATTAACATAGCTGCTCGTCGTGTGTTAAGAGTGCCGAGGATGTTTCTGCTGCGAATAAAGTCGGCAAGGAATCCACCAATATTGATAACAACGAAATAAGCAATGTAAGGAACTGCGGATACAATGCCAAGCTAAACGCGATTCTCTAATGTCTTTACAGTCCTTTTGACTAACTAATCAATATATCTCAAGAAAAAAAACCAAAATCCTATTGAAAACCCAGAAGATAACTTACCGATGATAAATCCAAACCGAGAACATCTTTCAGAAAAGAGGGAAGCGATACCAGCATTGTGTATGCACCCCAGTCACCTGCAAAGTGACCAAACCAGCATGCCCAAACAGCTCGAGATGTCAGAATACTGCGCCATGGGGTCGCAGGGTGCTTAACCAACCATTCCATCATTCAAGATAAAACCTTTTGGTATACCTGAACTGCCTCACCTTTCCAGTACGCTTTCCAACAGACGCCTCAACCGCTTTTGTAATGTATTCTTTTTCGGCTTCCGAAATCAGCGGATGATCACTGGGTTTGTCAGTTATTAAGTATGCCCAAACAGCGCACCAAATCACGCCCATAACTCCTGGAATACCAATGATTGCAGGAAATGTAGTCGAATACAAATTACTACTCCAATAATAAACGTTCTGGTAATAATGCCGTGAGTTCTTTGTAGCGGAACCAAGCTGAACTAACCAAGAGTGTAGAAAATACTGGGCCAACCACCGTCGAATCCATACTGACAGAGAAAACCTGAGAGAGGTAGCACAAAAACGTTGCCTATCTGAGCACCTGTAAGAATATGTGATTTCAGAGTATTTTACATGATTACGGTAATCAAAACATACCAGCATAACTGACACCAGTTAGCACAGACAGCTCAAGAGGCGGCCCCCATACAGACCACATGGTATGCATGGCTGGGAACGTGGCACCCTAGATTATTTGAGAAGTGAAAATACCATATAAAATATTATGAGTGCAAAAATGCCCTAAAAGAAGAAGTTCCGATAGGAGCCCACCTGAAGGAATCCAATACCAACGCGGAGACCAGCGAGAATATAGGCATGAGTACGAGCAGCCACTGGACTAGCCAATGTAAGCAATGAAGCGCCAAGAATGGTGGCTAAGATTACCCGTTTTCCACCATAACGCGAGGCCAGGTAACCGCCAAGCACCTTGAAATGTTGACTGTACGATTAAAAAATAATAGGAATATGCGTGGAAAGGTCAAAACAATTTACCTGACTCCCTAGGTAACCCCAGAAGAACGCCCCCAAAATGTGTCCTTGGGTGGCTTTGCTCCATTCGAATTCGCCTTCCACCTAAATGCTACTTCCATTGAAAAATGTGTGATACATACAACTGAATTAAAAGTAAAAGTCGAAATCCATCGAAATCCAATGTTCACAAAAGTCATATAAGGACAAAGAAAGGACATTTCCTTTGGGAAACACAGTGTTCTGGCCAATTCGCTAAAAAAAATCAACATCACCTTACCAGAGGTAAATGGTAGTACTCTACTACTTTTTTTTCACTAGTCATCCACCATTTCAGACCCTTCACAGTAAGGCAATTGCGACCCCGCCCCCCGGTTGAACTGCTTAGCGGTCGTTCTGATCCAGACCAGGGCTCACAAAGCTGAACACCAATCGGGCCCCTT